TGGGACAGTGGGAGGTGTCCCTGCCATGGCAGGGGTGGCTCTGGGTGGGATTTGAGGTCCCTCCCAACCCAAACCTTGTGAGACTCAGGAATCCCATTTCACATCACCCTCACCTGGCAAAATACCAGTCCAGATCAAGGTGCCTGTGATGGAGATGGGTGTTGGATTTGGGACAGAGCTCTCTTTGCTGGCCTCTCTGGCAGTGATCCAGCTGCTCTGATCAATAATGTGATTTTGATTCCCTGCACAGGCAGCCATTTCACCCCTCCAAATCTTTATTTCCTCTGCCTTCCCTGGCTGGAGCTGTGACCTCCCCACTGACCCATGGCCCCCACACCATGTACAGCCCCTTCCCTCCTCCCTCCTACAGCCCTGGGAAATCAATTCCAAGGAGAGAGTTGTAGATTGAATATTTTTAATATTTTCAAGTTTATTAGGCTTTATTTCAAATCCCAAAGGAGATTATGCCAACATGGGAGTATTGTCAGGACATCAGAGCCCAGAATAAAATCAGCTTTCTCTGTGTTAAAGGGGAGCTCCAAACCACCTCATCTGCTCTGTGTGTGGGAAACCTGATCCTTTCAGTAAGAACACTAAAATGGTTTCGTAACTAGACTAAAATATTAAAAGAAAACCACAACTGTTGAGCTGCACAAATACCCCAATTGTTTTCCAAATGTTCATAATTCCTGGGTGTCCTTCAGTGTTATTACAGGTGAAAACTCTGGTCCAAGAATAAAGGCACTTCAGAATTCCTGAAGAATGTTTCACAAGCCAAGGACATGTTTTGTGTCAGGTCTTCCTGCTCATGTAAAAAAATAAAAACTCAAATCTGAGGGGAATTCACATGGGAATGGTGAAGAAAAAAAGGGGCAGCAGACACTGAGTCCTGCTGACATCTGATGGACAGCAGGTTCAGGTTTGGAAATGACAGGGTCTGTCAAGGGTCTGGGCAGGACAAGATCCACCACCATCCAACCAGAAAGCAAATGGAGAAAAATCCAATAATTGGTGTTTTGGGAGGCCAGTTCTTCCAGCTTTGATGAGGTTTTCAGAGTGGAGGTTTCTGCCTTTGTCTCTTCCATTGAAGTTTCGCTCAGCACAAGGAGGGAACAGCCCTGAGCTGCTCAGATCCACCTGGCTGGATCTGAGTTGTTAGCAAAACGATTGAGAACCGAAATGTGATTAAAATTAGGAAGCACTTACAGCAGCCATTGCTGGGAACAACCCCGAAATTCCCACTGGTGGCTTTCCTGGGATTTGAATGGTGAGGCAGCTGAAGGGCAGAGCTCTTGCAGAGCAGGGCAGGGCTCTCAGCCGCCCCATCCTGCTGGAATCCCGGCTCTATTTCCAGTAGATCTTGCCCGCCTCTCCCACCCGCACGGCGCCGCTGGCCACGAGCTGCAGGGCGGCGGGGAAGGCTCTGTGCTCCGCCTCCTTCACCCGCTCGGCCAGCGTGGCCTCCGTGTCCCCCAGCTTCACCGGCACGGCCTCCTGGAAGATGATGGCCCCAGCATCCACCTCCTCCTGCAACAGCAACGAACAGCGCGGCTCGGGGCTGGCACGCAGGGAAGGGCCCCGGCTGTGTCACTGCCTCGGGATCTGTTACAGGGAA